CTGTATTCACCATGACACAGGCAAGTCTGTGGTTTGTACTTGTTTAAACTTTTGTCTAGTTTCTGAACATGATATTAGGAGCTGTGAGCTCTGAGTGCTAACAGCTAACGGCTGTGTTGTTTTTCTGGGGTTCTCATTGAAGATGACGTCACGGCTCCGCCTACACTGCGTTACTATAGTAACTACCCCAGTTCCTAAACTGTAATGGAAATGCAGCATAAAGTGAGCCAGTCCTAACGAGGCCTAGCCATACCGAGCGGGCCCGAGTAGTGGAAATGCGCCAAAAGACTCCAAGCCTAAAAAGCCCCAAAAAAGCTTAAAAAGCCCAAAAAACTCCCCTTTCTCTTCACACATCAGGCTTGTTTGAGACGAGCTGCGGCCAGTGGCGTTTTCTCCCGGAGGCTAAGGGAAGCCAGGCTTCCCCTGTTTTTTCGGATTGTAGTTATAATTTAAATAAATAAATAAAAACACTTTGTTTTGTTTCGATAATTCTCCTTTGCTGTGTGTTGCTGCCGGCCCGTCTCTCCCCCACTCTCATTGAGTATTTTACAAAGAGTGAAACAAACAGCGCCCCTCTAGATGTTATGGTGAAACCGTAGATTGCATTCACTGTTGCGAGAGGAGGCTAGTCAGATTGGGTTTCCCTTGGTGAAAAGAATTGAGGGATTGACCAATCAGATGAGGCCCACGTGATGCCCCTGCCAACCTGTGATTGGTCAGGGCCATGCCAAGGGAAGCCAGCTGGCTCTGGCTTCCCTTCAGAGGCGGCTGGCGATTTCACCTGAATAGATGAGATTGTTTATATTTTTTAGTTACTTTTGGACTACGGACTGAGCTAATTACAGAGACGAGGACTGTTGCTGCACTTGCCGTGTGTTAGAAAGGGAAGGGAAGAGAAGGTGGACTATCGCATGCAAATGTTTCTGTACATAATTGTTTTTGAATTCATGTGTTTCATACACGCCTACTGATACTTTGATGTGTACATAAAACTTTAAAGGTCTCCTGATTTACTTTGTGAATGAATGCTTCTTTTTTATTCATTACCGAATCTGCACTGCGCATTGAGCGGCTGGTATAAGGTATTGCATTTGGGGGGGGGGGTGTGTCTGCATAAATTAATAAAACGAGAGTTTCGGCTGGAGAGTGCGTGCGGTTAGATAACAGGCGTGTGCAAGTCCTGCATCTGTGTGATACAAATGTGTGTAAAATGATACCGGGCGCTGTAATCACTCATCTGGTTACGTTATTGACCACCACCACCCCCCCCCCCCGCTGCTCTCATGTCAAGAAGCATCAGATCAGTGCATCGTCCAATCAGTGAGCGATACACAGTAAGGGGGCGGGGCGAGTCTCTGAGGATTTCATCGGAGGATGGTCTGGTGGTTCCTCGATTATCGCTCCTCCGTTATCGCTCCTCGCTCCTCCGTTATCGCTCCTCGCTCCTCCGTTATCGCTCCTCGCTCCTCCGGCAGAAATAAGGCCATGGGACGCTACTCAAGATGGCGCAGACAAATCAACTTCCGGTGAGACCGAGACCGAGGAGCGAGGAAATGAAAAATAACCGAAGTGAGACGCACCTCTGTGTCAAAAACCACAAGCGCCATCTCAGAATTGTGGCTGGAACTTTTACGCTTGTATTGCCCCATCTAGAATGCGTAGTGCGCATCGGTCAAAAGTTCAGGATGCTCTATCTAGTCTCTCACGCCTGGTCTCTCACGCCTGGTCCTCCTCACGTCTGGTCTCCTCACGCTGGTCTCTCACGCCTGGTCTCTCACGCCTGGTCCCACACACCTGGTCTCTCACTCTGGTCTCACGTCTGGTCTCTCACGCCTGGTCTCTCACGCCTGGTCTCCTCACGCCTGGTCTCTCACGCCTGGTCTCTCACGCCTGGTCTCTCACGCCTGGTCTCCTCACGCCTGGTCTCTCTCACGTCTGGTCTCTCTCACGCCTGGTCTCTCACGTCTGGTCTCTCACGCCTGGTCTCTCACGCCTGGTCTCTCACGCCTGGTCTGAGGTCTGACACGGCCACTCAAAGGTCAGGTCTGACACGGCCACTCAAAGGTCAGGTCTGAGGTCTGACACGGCCACTCAAAGGTCAGGTCTGACACGGCCACTCAAAGGTCAGGTCTGACACGGCCACTCAAAGGTGAGAGAGAGAGCGTAAGGTGAGAGACTGCTGTGTTCACGTGTTCACGGAAACATGGCTCCACAACAACATCCCTGACTCCGCTATTCAGCTAGACAAGCTAACAAGCTAACAAGCTAACAAGCTACCGAGCAGACAGGAACAAGATAAACGGGGGAAAGAAGGTGTGTGTGTGTACATCAGTGACGCTTGGTGCCGAGACACTGTTGTTGTTGTTAGCTAACACTGCTCGCCACTGGTGGAGTTTATGGTTCTAAAATGCCATCCTTTTTACCTGCCGAGGGAGCTTACAGCGATTCTTGTGGTGGCTGTTTACCTCCCAGCTTAAACCCCAGCAGCGAGGGTAAAGAGGAGGCACTCTGTGAACTGTACAGAGCCATCAGTGAGGCAGCAGACAGCACACCCAGACGGCCTACTCATCGTAGCTGGAGACTTCAACCACGCTAACGTTAAAAAAAAAACATGTGCTGCCTAAAATATATCAGCATGTTGTTTTTCCAACGCAGGGGAAAACACATTAGACCTGGTCTACACCAACATCAAGGGAGGCATACAAGGCATCCCCCCCTCCCCCACATCGGCCTCTCTGACCACCTCACTGTTCTGCTGGAACCGGCCTACAGACCCAGGGTGTGGTCAGAGGACAGCACAGCTGCACTCAGAGACTGCTTTGACACTACAGACTGGGACATGTTCAAGCAGGCAGCCACATACAACCATCACACCACACAACAGCAATAATACAGAGACAGTCACGGGCTACATCACCAATGCATTGACGATGTGACACAAAACAGAGCCATCACCATCCGGGCTAACCAGAAGCCATGGCTGACAGGGGAGGTCCACACGCTGCTGAAGGCCCGCAACATCGCCTTCAGAGCTGGAGATCCAGCTGGGCTGAAAGCAGCCAGGGCTGACCTGTCCCGTGGCATCAGGAAAGCAAAACAAGAATACACCCGAGAAATTACAGGACATTTCAAGGATAGCAGGGACTCATGCAGCCTGTGGCAGGGCATCAGGACTCACGGAGCCTGTGGCAGGGCATCAGGACCCTAACGGAGCCTGTGGCAGGGCATCAGGACTCACGGAGCCTGTGGCAGGGCATCAGGACTCACGGAGCCTGTGGCAGGGCATCAGGACTCACGGAGCCTGTGGCAGGGCATAAGGACTCACGGAGCCTGTGGCAGGGCATCAGGACCCTAACGGACTACAAACTACCGCCACAGACCTGTGACAGTCTCCCTGCTCAACAACCTCAACGGCTTCTTTGGCACGCTTTGAAGGGCACATGAACAACACACCTGCCGCAGAAAAAAAACCCCCACCCCCCCCACCGACAACCAGGCTTTGCGTCTTTCACAGCCAGTGTGAGGCCAGAGCCAGCCTGCTGACCCGTGGAGGACCCTCTGACCCGTGGAGGACCCTCTGACCGTGGAGGACCCTGACCCGTGGAGGACAACGACCGTGGAGGACCCTCTGACCCGTGGAGGGACACTGAGACCCGTGGAGGACCCTCTGACCCGTGGAGGACCCTCTGACCCGTGGAGGACACTGACCCGTGGAGGGACCCTCTGACCCCGTGGAGGACCCTCTGACCCGTGGAGGGACACTGACCCGTGGAGGACACTGACCCGTGGAGGACCCTCTGACACCGTGGAGGACACTGACCCGTGGAGGACACTGACCCGTGGAGGACCCTCTGACCCGTGGAGGACACTGACCCGTGGAGGACACTGACCCGTGGAGGACCCTCTGACCCGTGGAGGACACTGACCCGTGGAGGACCCTCTGACCCGTGGAGGACACTGACCCGTGGAGGACACTGACCCGTGGAGGACCCTCTGACCCGTGGAGGACACTGACCCGTGGAGGACACTGACCCGTGGAGGACCCTCTGACCCGTGGAGGACACTGACCCGTGGAGGACCCTCTGACCCGTGGAGGACACTGACCCATGGAGGACCCTCTGACCCGTGGAGGACACTGACCCATGCACAGAGACGGAGAGATGAGGGACTGAGACACGTTGGCAGAAGGAAGAAAGGAGAGCGGAAATAATACCATAAATAAAATGTTACCTCTCATTTATCAAATATGAAGAATTAACTTGCAGAAATTGATTAAAGCCAATCTTAAAATGATTTAACAAACGCCTGTTTGAGACTCCTCCGTGCACACACTCCGTGTGTGTGTGTGTGTGTGTGTGTGTGTGTGTGTGTGTGTGTGTGTGTGTGTGTGTGTGTGTGTGTGTGTGTGTGTGTGTGTGTGTGTGTGTGTGTGTGTGTGTGTGTGTGTGTGACCCCAGACCCTGTGTTTTGAGTGCACTGATAGTAAGCATTTCCTCTGCTCAGGAGCCGCTGCTCTGTGTGTGATGGTTGGGGGTCTGTGTGTGATGGTTGGGGGTCCAGGTCTGGGTCCAGGTGTGGGTCTTTCTGTCCCAGCCCTGCAGGATGTTAAAGGGAGTTACCGCTCATAGCATCTCATCTGATATTTATTTGGGTATTTATTGATGTTGTTCATTTCATTGTGTGGGATTTAGAATGTGAGTGAGGGGTGTTGTCTGGTTCCCCTCAAAAGCACCTGTTTGCTGCGCTGGCTCCTGGTGGAGAGCTGCCAGCTGAAAACACACCTGTCTCTGTTCACCTGGAGATTACTTTAGAGACAAAGAAATAAAGCACTTTAAGTTAATTGCAATGGTAGGACCTGCTTAACATATGTTTCCCTGGTTCTGCTCTTTCGTCGCTTTGGATAAAAGCCTCAGCTCAATGTAATGTCTGCTCCCCTCCGACAGGGGGCGGCACTGCTCCTTCAGGCTGGATGCCACCCACAATACAACTGGAAGAAGAAGAAGTCCTTCCTGTGAGCCGTTAGCCTGTTAGCTCCTCCGTCATGGCGGACCTGAACCGGCAGCTGCAGGAGTATCTGTCCCAGAGTAAGGAGCCTAAAGGCGGCGCGGCGCGGGGCGGCACCGCGGTGGAGCTGCCGGAGGACCCGGTCCCGGGGAGCTGGTTCGGCCGCTGGTCCAGCCGCTGGTCCGGCAGCGCGTCGGGCCCGGGCTCCAGCTCCAGCAGCGGTGTTTCCTGGCCCTGGGCCCCGGAGCCGGACGCCTGCCTGCCGGGTCTGACGCGCGGCCAGAGGCTGGTCGGCGCCGCGCTGTTCGCCGCGCTCTCTGCGCTCTGCTTCGCGCTCTCCGCGCTCTACGCGCCGCTGCTGCTGCTCTACGCGCGGAAGTTCGCGCTGCTGTGGTCGCTTGGCTCTCTGTTCGCCATCGCGTCCGCGGCAGTGCTGCGCGGCCCCGCCAGGCTGTTCGCGGGGCTGCGCTCCTCCCCCGCGTTCGCCGTGTACCTGTGCGCGCTGGGCGGCACTCTGTACGCGGCGCTGCACCTGCACAGCACCGCGCTCACCGCGCTGGGTGCTGCGCTGCAGGTCGCCGTCATCGCGGTGAGCGTGGTGTCGCTCGTGCCGGGCGGCAGCGCGGGGATGCGTTTCATGAGCGGCGCGGCGGCGGCAGCGATCAAAAGGACAGTGAGCGGGAAGAGCCTTCCGATCTGACGGGAGAAGTGATGAGGATATGAGGACCAAAGACTGTTTGAGAGAAACTTGATTCCTGATGCAGGAGTAAACTGTGACGTCACGCAGGAGTAAACTGTGACGTCACGCAGGTGTGCTCTGTCTCTCCTGCAGGAGCTCTGACTCTGAATGTAAACACCAAATAAAGATTAAATCTATTTGTTTCACTCTCTGGTGTTCTGCAGTTCATTCACTGTAATCTGTGATCAGATTCAAAGCCTAGCTCTTTATAACTCTTTATAGCCTAGCTCTTTATAACTCTTTATAACCTAGCTCTTTATAGCCTAGCTCTTTATAGCCTAGCTCTTTATAACTCTTTATAGCCTAGCTCTTTATAACTCTTTATAACCTAGCTCTTTATAGCCTAGCTCTTTATAGCCTAGCTCTTTATAACTCTTTATAACCTAGCTCTTTATAGCCTCACTCTTTATAACTCTTTATAGCCTAGCTCTTTATAGCCTAGCTCTTTATAGCCTCACTCTTTATAACTCTTTATAGCCTCACTCTTTATAACTCTTTATAGCCTAGCTCTTTATAGCCTAGCTCTTTATAGCCTCACTCTTTATAACTCTTTATAGCCTCACTCTTTATAACTCTTTATAGCCTAGCTCTTTATAGCCTAGCTCTTTATAGCCTAGCTCTTTATAACTCTTTATAGCCTAGCTCTTTATAACTCTTTATAGCCTAGCTCTTTATAGCCTAGCTCTTTATAGCCTAGCTCTTTATAGCTCTTTATAGCCTAGCTCTTTATAACTCTTTATAGCCTAGCTCTTTATAACTCTTTATAGCCTAGCTCTTTATAGCCTAGCTCTTTATAACTCTTTATAGCCTAGCTCTTTATAACTCTTTATAACCTAGCTCTTTATAGCCTCACTCTTTATAACTCTTTATAGCCTCACTCTTTATAACTCTTTATAGCCTCACTCTTTATAACTCTTTATAGCCTAGCTCTTTATAACCTCACTCTTTATAACTCTTTATAGCCTAGCTCTTTATAGCCTAGCTCTTTATAGCCTCACTCTTTATAACTCTTTATAGCCTAGCTCTTTATAACCTTTATAGCCTACTCTTTATAACTCTTATAACCTAGCTCTTATAGCCTCACTCTTTATAACTCTTTATAGCCTAGCTCTTTATAGCCTAGCTCTTTATAGCCTCACTCTTTATAAACTCTTTATAGCCTCACTCTTTATAACTCTTTATAGCCTAGCTCTTTATAGCCTAGCTCTTTATAGCCTAACTCTTTATAGCCTAGCTCTTTATAGCCTCACTCTTTATAACTCTTTATAGCCTAACTCTTTATAGCCTAGCTCTTTATAGCCTAGCTCTTTATAGCCTCACTCTTTATAACTCTTTATAGCCTCACTCTTTATAACTCTTTATAGCCTCACTCTTTATAACTCTTTATAGCCTAGCTCTTTATAGCCTAGCTCTTTATAGCCTAGCTCTTTATAGCCTAGCTCTTTATAGCCTAGCTCTTTATAGCCTAGCTCTTTATAGCCTAACTCTTTATAGCCTAGCTCTTTATAGCCTCACTCTTTATAGCCTAGCTCTTTATAGCCTCACTCTTTATAACTCTTTATAGCCTAACTCTTTATAGCCTAGCTCTTTATAGCCTAGCTC